GAAAAAACCCACATCCTGCAGATTAAATAAAAAACCTAATTGTGCTCTGTCATACCAAACTCATCTTTAGATCTTTTCATGGGATGTCCTTTTCCCCCACATTGAACTTGATTAGGTTTTACTCACATCTTAAGGTGTGTTAGCATTTCTTTCCCTTCTTTATCAAGATGACCTTCCAATGTCCTTGAAAAATGCATGCATAGCAGTAAGTTTTCTGACAATGAGTTTTTATAAGTAATTAGATTCAGAAAACTATTTCTGCTTTACAGCTGTCATCTGACAATAACAACCTTGAAGACACAAAGTTCATTGGCAGTGGATGTAAAAACATAGCAAGATATTTCATTTTGCCCAAATAAAACCTCAAACTGCAGATTTAATGGTGAATTGTAGGATGAAATTTGGTTCATATAACTCATGGATTTAATGTATCATTCATATCTTATAATTAAAACTATTAAATTAAACTATCAGAAAAATAGTGATTGCATGTTACCGATGCTACATCAATTACTTTGGAAACCATGTTTAATTTTAAAGTGTAAATTTGATTGTATTTTTTGTTCTTGGAAAATAAGTAAATTCTACTTTCAAATTTTCTATTTTTTATAGCTGTTATATTTTTTATAGTAATACTGATAGAATGAAGACAAAGTGCGATACATCACATGGAAGGTTTGAAAATTATGTTGCAGTTTCTTAGTTTACCCTGATATCCATTTTTTTACCCCACGTCATGAAATATCACAAAATATTTCAGTGAGTGTGATCCATCCCAAGACAGGAAACTCTTCTTTCAAAGGACTTTGAGGATGTCATGCTAATCATCATGTAAAATATGATTGGGATGCTTAATGAATACACAATATTTGAATTGTTTCACAATGCGGTTGAAGTTTAAAGACTTAGAAATGATAGGGGATAAACATTATGGATTCACCTAACAAGGATTAAGTATCTGAAACAATTATTGAAATATATGAGAATAAATATCATGGTTTAGACTAAAGGGTGAAAAACATCTGGGCTCTAACTTGAGCTCTGATCATAGACATCTTTGTCACCTAGCATGTCCCGTGAAACTGCGCTACAGCTGATAAAACATAAACTGAGAACGTCGAGGGGTGCCTGTTCATCCCAAGCCAGAAATAATAAAAACTAAATTAATTATAGGCTAAAAATTGATTATTTATAAAAACTGGTGAATAAATCCTAAGGCATATAAACAAGTACACATGATGTAAAGTATAATTATCTTAGGAAATCTGTCTTACCTACTTTCCTGTGTATATATCAAAGATACGGGTCAACATCTCTACCTTCATTCACTTCATTACATCTGTGTTGATATTTTATACTTACTTAGGATATTTACATGGGAGATGTAGATAAGGAAAGCCTTACACTCTTGTGGCATTGAAATGAAATGAAGTCAAAACTATTAATTACTGTGAAAATGTCTATTAATATATATTTTTTAATTGAAAAGAAGTTTCCTGAATTTGTTATTTTCCTCCCGTGCACTAACTTTTTTGTTTTCCAAAAGAAGGTAGGAACTACACCATGACAAGCTGAGATTTCAAAAATGGAGTCTAGTCTATTCCGTGCTCTTTCATTTCCATATTTAGAAATATAAGAATAAAAAACGTTATTATCTATGGAAACAAATCTGGGGAAATGATAAGGGTTAAAATATACCATATCCAACTTTCTTAGAAGATGTCAAATGTAGCTTCAATAGACAGAAGATAGTAAATTTAAAAAATCTCTCATTTGGAGAGGAGATTTATTGGAAAGGTTTATTTTAGTTATCTCCACTTTTTTTCTCCTCAAGTTCTGGACAAACCTCGCTGCAGGATGAACTGAAAGACAACACCACCGTCTTCACCAGGATTCTGGACCGACTTCTGGACGGTTATGACAACCGCCTGAGACCAGGATTAGGAGGTGGGTCAAGTCATTGCATTTTTATTTTAGAGGGTATCACTAGCCTTTACTCTCAGAGTCTTATTTCCCTCCCCATGTGTCAGTGATAGGAATAGCAGCATGCAATTTGATAATTACTTTTATTTTTAACAGATTGCTGAATTTAAATTCTATTTACTATGGTACTTTTGCACACATACCCCTATATAATAAAAGGCAGAGACCAATTCCTGACAATGGCATAAAATGAATGCTACATTTATTTGACAAGCACAATGTTTTCTGTGTAATGATTTGATTATAAAAGGAAAATGGGAGTAACATTCCCCTTTCCAGCTCAGACAGCACATGCTTCAACCAGCACTGCTATGTCCCCACTGAATTCAAACAGGACCTCTCGAATTCTATAAAAAGAAATATTTTATTTGAGGTTATTAAATATGGATCTGTTAAATGCCACTAATCCAAGAAAAAGAGCTAATGATAGATGGTAATTTGGGGGTCTTTCTTTTAAATTGCACATTTGAAGATACATGCTAATTTAAATTTTCTTTTATATCAAATAAGTTATTTATTATAATGAAGAAATTCTACTTGAGAAGAATACTGTGCTTAATTATACAATATGTATTACAATAAGTGTAATCTGTCCTAAGCATTGTACATGATTTGAATAGCACTTGAATAAGTTAAACAAACTATTGTATTTGGTTATAGAAATATTAATGTAGCCAAAGCAAAATATTGATCTTAAAATAAAGTATGAAAATATATTATTTTTCAGTCACAAGGGTATCTAAGAGTCCCAACTTTAACTTGTGTCCTACCTTATTACATATTTAATATAACTTTTAATAATATTATAGAACAATATTAAGAAAGTCACTTAGTCTTTGCCTTGGACAGCTCAGTTGTACAAGTCTAAGAAGAGAAGCTTAAGAATTCAAATTTTGGCTTCACCTCAAAATGGAACTGTAATTTTAGAGTCACATTAAAAAATATATGTTTTGGTTCATATAATACCACGAGTGTGATCTTAGATCTCTTCTGAGGGTACTAAGTTGATACACTAGCCACAATAATTGCATCAAATATATCAGTAGACGGAAAATAACACACTAGGATAGGCTTTGTTCTGTTATGGGCATGCATAACGATTCCAAGAGAAGAAACCAATTCCTTCGCACCAAGCAACAGGGATAATACAACCAATTGATGTAAATCTGAGACTTCAGGAGGTACCTGGTTGTTTTGTCTTGGGCTGAACTCCATAGGTCATTGGTTGGAAACCACAAACCGGGATAGAGATAGGGTTTGTACTCCTTTAAAGGGTTACAGTCTTGGAGACTCACAGGGGCAGTTCTACCCTGTCCTATAGCGTTGCTCTGAGTTGGCTTTGAGTCAGTGGCAGTGAGTTTATAACTTTGTTATTTTTGTTTTTGTTTACCTTGTCTCCATCATAACTCAAGTATAGGTCAAAAGTCTTATTTCATATTCTTTCTCTCAATTTTGAACATGTATTTTAGGATATGGTATATAAATCTTTTTTATGTAAACTCCATTTGATGTTTTTTTTGTTTTTTTAGGAAAAATATTTTGAATAAAATAGTGGATCACAAATGGGAAGCTTTATACAGTAATAGTGATATATCAATATAATGACAATATGCATCTGAAAATCTGAATTAGCCCCAAGAAAATTGTTTAGATTCCTAAGAATTAAACTATTTTTAAAATAGCAGTTGGAAGAGGAATTTACAAAGGGAAGCCTAAGTCAAGGTTATATAACTTTTAACAAGATAGACTGAAAAATACTGATGGAAATTTTCTGATTCCTTTATTAATTCTCCTTTTGAATCTATGATGTCTCTCCCTACCAAATTAACAGCATTTGATAGGACATCTGAAACCAGATTTTTAACCTCTTTGTGGAATTCTGTCTACTGTATGGCTATAATAAGAACATTTCTGGTTGTTTCTCCATAATTTTCAGTTCATTAGAGAGATTTGCACACACATGCATACACACACATACTAGCACATGCACTCCTTATCAACCAGTTAAAAGATTGCTTGGAGTTAATGCTACATGCCCATGAGTGCTCTTTTTTTATTTTATGGTACACATTGGCTCTTTAATAAATGTGAATATTAAGTCATTAATAAAATATAGTATACACAAGAGAAATTTTAACTACCTCTCATTTGCATCTCAAAACCATGAATTTTAACTACATCTCATATACACACCTAAACACAGGGATTTAAAAATGGGCTGAGAATGGCTTCAAAGGTAAGTTTCAAGACTTTATATAGTTTTAGAATTATTCAAAGAAATTAAAGTGATATATGTATTTCAAAATAGTTATTTTGTTATAATCCATTTTATGGCATGTAATGTGAGAAATAACAACAAAAAATGTGTTTAAAAAATAGAAGTCAGTTTGTCAGATATAGATAGGTATTGCATCTACTTTTAATTGAAACTGATGTAGCACACTAATGAAAGGAAGGATGCAAGGAAAAATGAAAGAAGAAATGTATTTTAGATTTTTAATGATTTTTTTAAAAGAATTCTGGTTCTGTAAAATGCTGATTTTGATAATTAACATTAAAACACATGAAAAATGGCCCAAATATTTTTTCTCTATAAAATTTTAATGTATAATGCTAGAAGAGGGTACAATTCAAATGTTATTGCCATAAGAATTTTTGAGAACTTCAATACTGGCTTAAAGTTTTCTTATTTCTGAAGTGTCCTTTTGAATTTAAAGCAGTGTCCTCATGCTCCTTATGTCTACCGATAACGGCACTGACACTTTAAATATATTTTGAAAATGTTTCCCTAACATTGCAAAGGTACACATTAAATAATAAATACAGATTTTATGTTTTATAACACGTTGCCATGAAAGAAAATGTTACCACCCTGATTCCTAGCTCCTAAAGACTAAAATCATTTAACATAATTCTCTTGCAGAAATAACAGAGTTAAATTTCCTTATCAAATTTTGATAATTTAAGTAAAACATATTTTACTAGCTCACCATTGAGAACTCCTCTTTTGTTTTACATGAGTAATTTACTTTAAGATGAAAAGATTACATATAGAAAATTATTAAAAGGTTATTAGTAACATCAAGGGTTACATAAATTTTTCTGCTTTACCTCATAGCCACAGGTAGGATAGTATCTTGTAAAGGAAAGGGTTCTTATCACGACACAATCTATTTTTTAAAAAGTAACAGCCATGTGCACAATATGTGATTTGTTCTAAATGTCCTCAATCGTTAAGAAGTGTGATAACCTGAGAATTAAAAGTAATGAAAGAAACGCTTGTAAATGAAAATTTCTTATGACCTGTTTTTCAGAATTCCATACTGCACCTGAAGACACAGCATTCATGTTCAGAGATGTAACCCTTTGTTTGGGTAACTAAGGGACATAAAACATATGGGTTTGTCCCAGATGATGAAAATCAGTTTTCAGATATTGTTGCACATTATTTTAAAGTACTACCTTTTTTGAGTGAAGAGGAATTGACTAAATTAGCTCATTCTCTCATTACTTTTTTAATTCTTACCTTATATGATAAATAAAAAACATGTTTATTCACTTCCGTTGAGCATGAATAAAATAGTTCTTTCTGATCTCAGTGTCACGCAGGATCCAAAAACTAATAAATGATACTGTGATTATCAGGCATTTTATAATCTTGAAAGTAGATGGAAGATTAATTTTTAAAAGTAGAGCTATTAGTGATATGACTTTCCCCTTTTCAGTCTCCTAAACTTTATGAAGTCACACACAATTTCACAAAATTTACCTTGTCATATTTTCCCGTGGTTTCTAAGCTTTCAAACTTTATTTATTTTGACAAGAAGGAAGGTGACCCCAAATCCCAAGCTGATTTGCTAAGCAGTTAGCGCTATTTTGCCAACTACAGAGTCTGTCTAACTAAACTATTTGCCTTTCTTTGAGGAATGGGATTAGTTCTTTTTATAACTCAGATCTCTTGCAAAAATTGGATTCAAGAAAGTGAAAAGATCTCATATAGGAATCAATAATCCAAGAATACAATATAAAGAAGGTAAAGCTGCTTTGAAATATTAGTGCTAGACTGATTTGAGAAGAAACATGAGTTACAGGTACTTAAATAACACAAGTGAAATCTTAAAAACAAACAATAACACAGGAAAGCCAATAAAATCATTAAAAATATTTTAAATATTTAGCAAGGATAAAAAAATACTATTTCCACACAGCTGCTCCATGAGAACAATCTGAGTCTATTTGCTTATGCAAAGATTTACAGAGTTGGAGACACTACCTGAGATTGTTGTGAGGAGCAATGCTCTGGAAAGTAGCTGGTGGTATATGCATCCTAACCTGCCTTCTTTATCTTCTTCTTCACCCACTTCTCTGATGACTGCATTCATTCCTCTTCTTTTCATCTTCTATACTTCGTGATAAAATCTTTATGAGGCATCCATCATCATATGCATTATTTATCAAGATTAAACTTCAGAGTGAATTTAGATATTACAAAAATATGTAAGGCACTGCCATTAACAAGGAAATGGTTAAAGTTTTTTCTGTAATTTTCTCAAAATATGTCTCCACCAAGATTTCCCATCTTTGATATTACTCTGAGTTCTAATCAAATTGATTTTTAAATTATTCTATATTCCAAAAAATGAAAGAAAGTTTTTCTTAGACTAAGATGTGCTTTCCTGGGTGAGCCTGAGCCTCCGGACAAGAGAAAGGAGTGTGTTCCAGACTGAAAACTGTCCACCATCAGCCGAGACTATCTGTCATTTTGTCAGAGAGAGGGAAGCGCCTCTTGTATATATGGTGGGGCAAAAGCAAGGAAGGAAATAATGTCTCTGGAAAGGCAATGATTGTCTGAAACACTTGAAATCTTTCTGTAGGCTTAGTTTCATTTCTATATTTGCAGATGATCTTGCTTATTTCCACAGCTAGTGGTTGTAGTTTTATCCAAAATTTCTGACTCTCTGTGA